TATATATATATATATATATATATATATATATATATATATATATATATATATATATATTGCTACATACATTGTGTGTTATAAGTCTGAGACTCGCATCTTTAATAACAGATACTATATTCAGCATTGTTATTAAGATAAACTCGGATAAAATGGCCATATTTTTTTAAAATGCAAAAAAAATACATTTCTTATTATTATTTCTTAATAGCGTTTGGCATATTACTTCACTGAAGCCTACAGTACATAATACTATCAAAGTTAAAAGGAAAATACTTCAGTAAATTATTTATTCAGTAAAATTATTTATTACAAAAATATCAAAACATGAGCATTGGCCATCTTACCTAAATTTCTTAGATAAAATGACCATAAAGGAATAGATGACCCTTACATATTTTATGTTCAAGTTTCTGTATCTATTCTTTTATAAAATAATAAAAAAAACAATTTAACATATTTATTTTAATACAAGATATTTAATATATATTATTTGTGAAAAACACATTGCGATGTGTGTCCAGTTAAAATAGAAAATCATGATTGCGTCAAAATAATATAAATATTTTGATGAAAAAGTGAATTTTCTATATCATTATCTGATTTATTTTAACATCATCTTGGTTTTCTGTTCTACTTCTGTTGGATAAACTCGTGCAATTTAGGGATCAAACTTAATTTCTTTATACTTACGCCGGAGTGATTGATCAGGCGAGAGACTTTCATCAATGAGCAGCGGCTGTCACTGAGTTTATAGTGATCACCGATCTCGGGATCCCATAAAATAGCGTCTTCTTCCTCGAGGCTTAAAACAAACGCGGTCCACTTGCTTATCTGCGAAGAACCTGTAGCAATTTGTAAATTTCTACATTTTTTACGAGTTCTTTCAGTACTCTTGAAAAGTGGTGTCGAAACTTTACTTGATATCAGATAAGATAAAAAAGATATTTTTATCAGAAGATAAAAATAGGCCAGTAAGGTATTAAAGATTATTATTTGAAATTCGTCTTAAATGAAATATACAGATTTGTATTCAGAGCTTTCAGTTAAATTACAGATATAAACATCATATATATATATATATATATATATATATATATATATATATATATATATATATATATATATA